CGTTTTAGTTTCAACAAGCGGCGCCAGCGACTAGCAGGCGTGCGAGGATTCACACTGAAATAGGAGAACAACCTTCGTTTTTCATAAAATTGTAATTTACAATCCTTGAACTTGAAAACAATCCTAAGATTCATTAAAAATATCACTTACTCCGAAGCGCTCGGAGTTTACAGGTGTTCAAAAGCTTTTTCCGTTATGGCGTGAGATTAGGGACAAAATCGATCATTACATTTCGTATCGCGTGTTTTTTCTGTGTGAAGCAACGAAAGGTGCCGGCGACTGACGAAATTACAGGTTAACACGAAAATCAAATAACACCTAAACAAATAATTTTGGCTACCGATTTTCAGTGAATTTTTAAAGAAAAATTATTTTAAGTTTCAATACAATTTGAAGGTTCAAAATAATTATTACGTACTAAAATGCGAAAGTTATACACCACAAAATTAATAAATAGGCCTCAAATGAAATTCTATCTTGTTCTTGATTATACGTTGCCTAGCACGTGACCAAAATCTACCAAGGCGGAAATCCAAAATGACGGTGGCAGTCTGGGCTTAGTTATATCACTCGAAACTCGTTCCCATTTGTCTCATTTAATAAAGAGGAATCATTATTGTTTTCATTAAGACAACAATGCCTTGATTTTCCAATATTTACAACGATAGATAGTAAATTTCACTTTTCACCCACATTTAATTCCAACCTTTTCTTTTGAACCAGAAACCAAAATGATATATGTTTGAAACACATGACATCAACCAACCTTGTCAAATGTAATAACATGATCATTTCAATTGTAATGCCTTCTTATCCCAACGTTACTTTGTTTCTTTGCTACATAAGCGAACACTGAACTACTGCTCGTACTCTAAATATGACAATCAACCACAAAATTCCCTAAAATAGATAAAATTAAACATAATCCAAAAAATCAAGTAAGTCATCTGTCAATTCACGAGTTTGCTCATACAGCACTTTGATTGACATTCATTACCAGCCCGTACGTCATTCAAGATTTTCCATTCGGCAAGGGAACTCCTAGGCAAAAGAGCAAACTGGCAAATTAAAACTGGCAAAACGTTATCTCAAATGTAACTATAAGGCAGGACTATAAAAATAAGTATATTTTTTTAAAAAAACGTACTTTAAATACCTACTCCGTTATCGAACTCCGGAACTAAACATTTCATGTCAAACCCTAGAAATACAGAGGGAGTTTAAAAGGCACGATAACGTTCTTTTCAGTTTTTTTACGAGTGTCATACCAAGTCATGTATAGTTCACACAATTCGATTTGACAACTCAGTTTTTCGTTACACTTTGATAGCAAGTACATATATCGTCAGCTTCCAGAGTTCCAGATCACTGTAGGGCATCTGCTCTCAGTTACCCTGGAGATCCAGATTACATTAGTAATTGCGATCATGATCATGACATCGCATGTGATCGATGCGAGTTGTTCCCTGATGTGGTCCATGAAATCGAGTCCGTTTTAGAGGAGGTTCAATCCAAGAAAGAGGAAAAAGATGAGATGAAATATGAGGTTTCTCAAGCTAAAAAAAAAATGAAGCATTGAAGACTCATTTGCTCCGCTTCATCAACCAAGACGAAGCATTACATATACCTTAAAACATCTAGACCCTCATTCTGTGCTCTTAGTTTTGGATTGGGCCATGAAATACCTCCCAAGAAAATACCGCGAGAGTCAGACCGATTGGTTTGGAAAGCGAGGTATTTCATGGCACATAACCACGGCCACAAGAATGTACGAAGGACAACTTCAACTGCTGTCACTCGTCCACCTTTTTGAAAGCTGTTACCAAGACAGCAACACAGTTTTGGCTGTAATTGATGACGTGCTGAAACAGCTCACGGAAACAATGCGCAAAGTTAATCGCGTCCACCTCAGACAGGACAATGCTGGATGCTACCATAGCGCATCTACATTACTGGCAATTCAGCAGGTGGCCAAAAGTCACGATATCAGCATAGGGCTAGATTTCTCGGATTCCCAAGGGAAAAAGGGGTCTTGCGACCGTAAAGCAGCCGCGATCAAGAATCATATTTGAATTTATCTAAATTCTGGTCACGATTTCGAGACTGCCGACCGAATGAAGACCGTTATAGAGTCCTCGGGTGGTGTACCCGGTGTTAGGGTGTTGCACGAAAACTTAGAATGGGACCGATGGGTATTTAGTATTGCTAGCGCCTCACATCTGCTAACACTCCACAAACTGTGACCACCGTATGGACAAAAAGGCTTGTATAGTCTTTTAATATTCTACAAGGACTTGAAAGTCCTATCCAAACTCTACCACTGTTTTTAGGTTTATTGACCCTTGCCAGCCAACCTTCCAGAACACCTTCAAAAGGTCTAAATCGACCGCCGCAAGTTTTTTTTATAGAATATTTAAAAATTACTCGCCTTAAGCTCAGTGAATATCATGATAAATAATTTCCGAGACGACGTCGAAAGGATTATTATTATCTTCTAAATCAAATTGCAAAATAAACGCTTATGAAAGAAACGATACATGTGGTGAAAAATTAACTACTTAATATATAAGCAATTTAGTTTCTGAGCAAATGCTCTCATTTAACATCAATAGGAAAAAATGTCCACGTAAAGACATTTTAATGTTTTGACTTGTAGACGAAATAAAATAGTACGTGCATAAACAAACAGAATACTCATTGTTAATCGCTTACATTCTATTCTGTTATCGTTTATTTTTCAGAGTTCCTTCTTTCTCTAATAACGTCACAAATAATACTAAATATGATAGGTCGTTTTATGTCAGAAAAGCCAATCACATCGATCATGAATCGAACTGATTTGTGCCCCTCATTTACATTTGGAGCGTAGCACAAATAAAAAATATTCAAAAGGATTTTGAACATTAAAGCAGTTTCTGAAATACACATAAGCTTTTGCTTTAGTTGATAGACGTAAAAATTCAAGAGAAGCTTACTCAGTATTCCCTTTTATCTTACACAAGACTTCTCCTTTTCGAATACATCTTCCTTCCCCATCAAACAGTCCCGGCCAAAGATAACACGCTATCTCCTCTTCCTGATGTTGGTCGGGGGTTCCTTTCACGCTTCTGATTGGCTGAAAACGAGTGCACTTTTCATGTCACACGAGTGCAAAGTTGTTACGCGAGTGCAAAGTTGTAACGTGAGTGCAAATTACAGATAGCGCGCGCGTTGTCAAAATTTCGTCTGTCTTGACTTTCTAAGATGCTTTTTCCATGAAAATGATCAACAAAAACTTGCACTCGAAATCATCTTATTATCGATACTAATATGGTTAACAATTTTTTTCAGACCTGACATCGACATTCATCCTTCTCCCCTTTCCCCATGGAGAATGATGCAGGGCAGGAAATGTACGATATATTGGCTTGGGATGAAAATAAGATTGCAAAGATTAACTGCTTAATCGTCTCGTACCTAGGTAATGTTTTTGATCTGAAGATAATGATTAAAAAAATGCCTCTCAAAATTTCGAAAAAAACAATTCTAGGTTTCTAAGTAATTTTCAAAAGTCAGTATAGTAATTAACTCTAAGTTACTGAGTTTTTTTTGTTTTTGTTTTTTTTTTTCAATTTACTTATTTCCCGTGTGCGTTTGATCCAAAAAAACTGAACTACAACTCGGTTTCTTCGTGACGCCTTTGAAAACTTATCAGAAAAAAAAACCATTAGATTCGATTGTGACTGATGATCTCATATGAAACCAACCAGAAGCATACCAAGTAGCAAAACTCATTAGAAATCTGGGAAAAGCCTTTGCGTTACCACGAACATCCAACAAACTGGACTGTATCACTCAGCAGATAAAAGGCTAGAAACGGTGTGAGGCTTTTTTGATATTCCTGTTGTTCCCGAGAAAATCTATTTTAAAGTTAGACAATACAAAATTGCGTTGTCACGCGCCGGGAATTCACAAGAAAGATATCTCAAGTTTCTTTAGAGCCTCGTATAATTTTGTACATTAATATCTGACAAATATCCTCGCTAAGTTTCGTCAAAATGCGACAAAACTTGTTAATTCGTTTAGGTATAGGTTACTCACATAGAAGCAAACCTCGGGTTTTCGGCCTCCAAAGAAATTCCCAGTCTTCGCACCTCATTTAAGCGCGTGTCGATGCCGTCATGCCGCCAACCAATAAATAGAGAATAATACATGGGCGCGCGTAGATATGGAATTTCCCTCCGAGTATTAACTCCATAGCTCACGAGTGAGATGTCGAAGTGAACACGAGAAGGCAAATTTCATATCTACAAGTAACCTTGTATTATTTTGTTTATCATATAAACCCAATGGCCCTCTACTGAGAAGAAAAGCCGACTTCATTAATGAATGAAAATAAATGAATCGACAATCGTAGAGTGCTTTAGCGCTAACTCTTAAGATGAAAAAATGCGTTGAATCATGATTAAAAAAATAACAATGGTCGTAATTTTCAATTTACAAACTTCTCATTTATTGAATTTGTCCTTACCGACACAAGATGTCTTTCAGGTAAACGGCCAAAATCGGCCAGCGGCAAATCTTCCAGTTGTCGATTTTCATTCTCAGCCGAGAGAAATGCCGACACCAACGCCGCTGAATTCGTACCTTTCGGTTTTTCCTTTGTCTATTGGTTTTCTCTCCCTTCTAGGAAAGTTTGAACCTCATTGTCTGTCAGCGATACAGATTTTTTTAGTGTTTTCGCCGCCATAACTCAAGAAGTTCCAAGAAAGTACTTATATTGAGAATTTTGAAGGCTTTGTTGTTCATTCATCAACCTGACCGAGTGGCGCTAAAGGCGAGTGAAGTGTCAGCAGCTGACTGGCTATATCAACACACGTGATAAAATATCGTATTTTTTCACTTATGTTGTTACAGCTTTTCTCAGGGCCGGAAATCCCCGTCGCAGTTTATGTGATGAAAGGCAATATTGAACTCCCTTCTCGAGTCCCTTGACAAAGAGGCTTTTGAAATTCGCGGTTAAACGAAGTCCAAAAAATTCATCAAGGAAAGCAATTTGTAAAGTCAGACTTTTTTACTTCATCAAAATCTCTTGCCTTCCACTTCTTTGGCTTGGGCCTTCTGATAGATTTGCCACAAAGTGACATCTCTTTTTCACTGTTTCATGAAGACTCTTAGTTTTCAATTTTTTGGGAAATGTGACAAATTCACTTCTTTTGTGCGGTGCAATGCGTGATGTAAACGAAATATGCAAATCGAGATCCACCACACTGTTCATCCTCACCCCGACGATTTACTGCTTAACCATGAAACCTTCAAAAATTATATGAACAAGTGTTGTTTTCCACCAAGATACGTACTGAGAGGCTGATTCAAATCAATTACGAACTATTAGAGAATCATAATACAAAAACCGAGACCGTTTTTTCCCAAATACTTCTTGTAGGGCACATTGTTGTAACTTTTTTCGAACAAAGATAGAGTGTACAGGACAACATACCTCCACTAAACAATCAAGGTTGCAATTGGGTGCCGTTTCTTTCAAGATCATCATTAGGGCATCAACAGCTTCAACCGGATACTGTGATTCTTGACGTCCTAAGCAGACTGGATAGGTAATCGATGTTTTAGAAATGCCCGTCTGTTGGTAAAGACAAAAGACTTGTATGCTACACGATATTACAATAGGAATATTTAAAATGCATCAAGCAGTCATAACATCTATGGAGGGCTAAAAAGACGATTAAATGGATACGGCTGAACAAGAATTAACAAAATCCGAATCTTTAATCTATCTATCCGGGTGAATTCAAATTTAATTTATATATTCCCTAAATTACTAACCACTCTGTAGACAACTTGCCGGCTTAAATGAAAGCCTAAACCTTATTGATGCAGCTGGAATCTGAGTTTTCATATGAAAGGCAAGTCCTTCATTTAAATGACAATAGGACCGAGCCGATTTATTTTCAGTTAACGATGCAAATCACCTTTCCTTACTATAAGGCTTGACGCCTCTTCTTTCGTCAAGAGAGATTCGTGTTCATCGTGTCTAGTGAGGTCTAGCTTTTCTTCAAAATGACGCTATATCTTAACATCTACAATTGATCCGCACGTAAGGGGGGGGAGGGGGGAAACTAGAAGGATGATATGGTTTAAATACAATGTCGGCGTCCTTTACTCAATATCGTTATGAAAAAGGACGAGTCTCAAATCTTTACAAGTGTTCTATTTATATTAATCTTAACCACCGCTTTTCATCTATCCTCGTCGGAGGTTAATTGCTCTAAGGGTTTATTTTATTTGTCTTACCCTTTTATAGCTGGTCATCGATTTGATCTCCTTTGGGGCTAATTGAATAAAACCTTTCGTTACTTCTTTCCCCAATTCAAAAATTGCTCCTCTTGCCTCTTCCATTGTTTCGTAGGCAGCCTAAAAAAAACAAAACATAACAATACAAAAATCAATAATGTGAGAATGGCAATTACTGTACTAAAATTATACATAACGTACATCTCTATGGCGAAATGAAATCCTAGTAATACATTTACCGTCGTATACAGCGACGAAATCTACTTATTCCACCAACACCTAAACGAGCAGAACACGAACAATTAGCAGACAAGGCGCAGAAAACTGACGCGTACCGACATATTACCAGACAAGTCATCTTACAACCCGGCATCACACAGAGTCGTTACTATAATGCACCCAGGGCTCTAAAAAGACAGGGTGCTCGACAGGCACCCTACCCGAAGAAAACCAAAACTTTGACAATGTTTTTCCCTAAAAGAGCAACAGTTAGATTCAGCGACACACTTAGCAGCGACAACACTGACGATCACAATAACTACACCATAAATGAATGCATATCTGAAACCACCTCGCGCATGCTATAACCATTCAATATCCATGTCACCCATAAAACGATCATTACTACACTACGTCAATTACAAAAGACAGGGTTGTTTTATAACAAACTTTAATACAAGACCCACTAAGCACGAACGAGCGACGAGAAATGGTAATAGAAAAATCACATCACTGGAAGGTCATCTAGTCACGAACCACGCTATTGACTAGGACTCTGCCTAATGCTTAACCTACAGCTCTAACTATTCCCAGACTGACTCTGTAAAGCTAGTTAACTTATTTAAAGTAAACTACCCTAAATAGATGTCAATAACTACTGGCACCAATAAAACGACTTATTCAAGACATTTGCACCGCCACGGAACCGAACAGAACGACTATGCAGTCATTCTGTCGACGGATCGAAACGAGTGACGACTGATTTATATGCACCAAATGAGTCTTACAGCCAATACAATCGCAGCTAAACTATTTAGACATTATGCAAGGACTGGAACTAAAACAGTCACTGACAACAACTCTTCATTTGACTCTGATGGTGACCATCCACTCAGTTTGTCGAAGGTCAGTCACCACAACCGACTACGATCCTTCTCAGGACTACCCCCTCCCGCACGATCAGATTACACGAAAACATTGTACCCACTGGTTCAAAACCATTTATTGTAAAATCAGAATGGTTTTCATTAGTCGTTCCACTTAAAGGATGGAAAACTGTAGCAAAAACCCCGAGAGAGAGAATATAGAGAAGTTTTATATAATTTATATTGCAGTCAGAATATGCGAAATGAGAATTAGTAGGACGTACATGGTCATAATGCTACAAACAATGAACGACCCTTGCCGACTTGAAAAATGTTGCATTGACGTATGTTTTTTTATAAGAAGCTCATGCCCATCGTCTTATTAAAAAGGTTAGCTCAAAAGTTTTGAAACGACTTCAGAATTAATTATTGATACTGTGAACGAAACATCTACATTTCATGAGTGTTAACTTAACCGTAAACTCAAGACATACCTCAAAAACAAGACAAAGAAGTCTGGGGCAATAAACGTCGACCTCCAGCTGCTCTTTAAATGAGCAAGATGTCTGCATTTTTTCCAATGCATCCATTCTCGTTTCGTCGAAGAAATTAGCGAAATCCTCTTCCACCTTTGACTGTCTGTTCTCACTAAGCGTGTCTTCCACTTTTGACTGATTTTGTTTTACTCTTCTCTCACTGAGAGCGGCAACCCTGCAAGATAATAAGAGACCATTCAGTGCTAAGATGATACACACATCGTCATCGTCAAAAAGAAGTTGAGAGAAAAAATGATAAGGGAAATTTGTATAAAAGGATATGAAAATAGCTTCTGAGAATTTTTTTAAAATGCAGTTGGTCACTTTCAGAGGCTGAATTCACGTTTGTATTTTTAATCCTAGGCGAAATTTAGATGCCTCATGTAATATCGTTTGGATGAAAAAGCAAAAGGCATATATACATCATGCAAAGGTTCTGAGGGTGGCTTTCTATACAGCTAACCTTATTTATTATAAATATCCTTGACTTGAGATATCTTGGGATTTCAAGTTTTTTTTGTTTTCGTATTTTTTCATTTTTAACTTGAATGTGCGACCTTAAGTAGGCTTCCTAGTGGGAGCTGTTCATTTGATAGCCATTTTACACTTTCTAATCATACACATTCATATGCGTGTGTTTGTCTTTGTGCATTACTACTTCAAAGACAAGGATTTTTAACTCGAGACAGCGATCTCTGGACTTTTTCATTGCTGTGCGAGTAGAGGATAACGTTCAACTTTAAAATTCAAAAACGGTTGCAATTCCGCTTTCTGTGGATGGTGGCGACGAATTTGCGCTCATGGTGGTGCTATTTTCTTGACCAAGTAAAAATTTACATTTTGTTTGATAAATCCTTGCATATAACACACCTCGGCTCTTCATCAGTTTAGAGCGTGTGACTTGACAATTGCTTTTCTTTTCAGTTTATCTCATGTAGCGTTCACAAAATACAGTGTGTTGCGTAGTCAAGAACACTCATCACGATTAGAATTTTACAAGTATAATTAAATCTTTTTAAGGGGAGGAAATAGATGACTCGTATTCCGAAAAGCATTGCTTAGTAAAGCGGAGGAATTCAATCCTAAGTATCTTTTGCGTTAATACAGGTAAGCTCATTGCTGGTAACCCGTATATAAACATGAGATGCATAAGACCCTTTATATACTCCTGTGCTGGAACCTGTTTCCTTCATTCAAAAGCTAGTTTACGAGATGAAGGAAGATCAACATGAAGCAAATTCCTGAGGCAACTTTTAATATAAACTATCGATTATTTCTCGAAAACTTCTCTGAACATTAACAGCTTGTCTGTTGTGATCTCTATAGATGGAATTGTGTAGTTCAAGATCGAAATAAGACGCACCTCACTTTCAGCTGCGCAAGAGGAAAAAAAATTATTCGCGCTGAATAAGCCTACGTATTTTGAAAAGAAAACATTGATTAGGCAATAGTTCACAAATTTTTATGTATGTCATACTGTTTAACGATACATGAACATGAAGGTTTGAAAGACTTTGCTTTGATCTATGTAAACAAAGTATCACCGACGCCCTTTACGGTTTAAGGAAAAATAAAAACTTGGAACGGACTAATAGATTTATGCTGACTTGCTGAGGGTTGACCTCAACAAGTTACGTTTCAGTATTCATTTCCTACTCAGCGTTGCTTTTCGGTTTTAAGTCGGCTGCTTAACCTGCTGTAGAATGTGTCTTCTAAGGTCACATGTACTAAATGATGTCAGTTAAAACGAAATTTCACACAACTTAAAAGCTGGTTTGTTCGTTTTCTTCAACCTTTCTTGATCATCAAAATAAATTTTTTTTTTTCATTTTAATGATTATTTACTGTAAATTACATTTAATGTAAAAAAAAAAAACAAGGGAAAGCCACGAAGCGCAGCAAAGTATTGAATACTTTATTTCTAGAGAATTTAAGAGATTGCCGACGCGGTAAAATGAGAATCAGATGAGCCGGATTTAAGAAGGTTGTTAGACGTCTTTTGCAATATTACGGAATGTTTGGCGCAAGCGGTAAGGGAGATGATTTTCCTGCTGCTGCTATATTTCTCTGCCGTGTCCTCACTGCGTTCTTCTCAGCTGAACAAAAATTCCAAAATTGCAGAAATTCATATGCTGATTTACAAAACGAAAATAAACACGCACTTGCATCTAAAAAGTAAGTTATAGTTCGCTTTCATTAATCGATCGCAATCAACCTTCATGCCCCCTTGGGGTGTCGTGGTATGTATCACTTTCAGAGCCATTGTAAATAGCCAAAGATGGCATACATCAATAGATGTAGCTGTGTCACATTTAAATCATTTATTTCATGCTGAAAAATTATAATATACAGAGGGCTCGGCGATAAATAAAACTTAAGATATCTCTGGTTCAAAAGCAATACTGTCCAGTTGAGTTTATGGGGAACAAAAAGAGGAGTTAACATAAATATTTTCTATTGCTTAGCTGTATCTGCACACTAACAGGTCTTAGTTTACGACTTAAGTTTCTTTGAGATAGAATTAATCTGAAAGGCATCAATCATGGTCTATTACTAAAGTAAATAAATTAACTAAAATAACCGATTAGGCATGTACTGTAATACAAAAGGTTACCCGATGGCGCTCGATGTTTTGGAACTTCCAATGTTCGCCAAGACCTCGATCTGTTCCTGTTGATCTTCGATGGTTCCCTCCAATGTTTTAATTCTTTAGAAAGGGATAAGAACAATAAATGCTCTCCTTCATGATAAACTAGGGGAAAAAACAAACGTTATTTTGGACTTCTATTTTCTCCATTCATATAAAACGAAATACAGGAGAGTTAGGTTCGTAGGTTTTAGAGAATGAAAAAGGGAAAAGAAAACTGAACCACGCATGGATTTTTTAATTGTAATTAGTGTAATATTTAAATTGTATTTTTATGCTTTTACCGTACTGAATTACCTCTGGACGAAAAAGGGCAGTTTTCCAATTAAAGTTGAATTTTATTAGGAATAATCTACCTGAGTTACTACAAATGTTAATTCAAAGAGTCAGATAATTTCCACCCGGCGATTTTAATAATACTACTGATGAAAGTTATGATAATGACAATGATGTTCATAAAAATATTAATAATAATCATGACATTGATAATGATAATGATAATACATATTTTAATCGTCTAGCAATTTTTCTGAAAGAATAGCCTCAGAGAGTTTCGCAGATATTCAAAACTAAAAAATGCCAACTTTACAGATTTGACCTCGAAATTAATCCATCACAAATCTAGTAGGGTAAATTAGAAACGATGCCGTAAACCTTTTAAGAATACTGAATAAAATAAACAATAATTTTTACACTTCTTAATCATTAATGTACGCTTCTTAAGAGGAGGTTTATAAGTTCTGTTTACAATAGGCGGTTTCTGCTCGAAAGGAGCACTAAAAGAGATAGAGTCTTTAAAAGCCACATGGTCACAATGACAAATACACGCCCTATTTTGTTAAAATAATTTCAGACCAGCTATTGATGGCAAGTAAAACAAAAGTGACGAGAATACATTAAAAGAATCTCTATTAACCTTCATGATACATACTGCACATGTTCTGAAAGACACAGCTTTTTATTCTATCGAAGCCTGCACTTTTTGAGGTCTCTCTTAATAGGAGCTTTAGATTTCAACATTGTCATAATCTTAAATCTGGTACTTCACTTGCCGGGCAATGGACCTACTCCTAACCCCTAACTATTAGTTCATTCAGTATCATTATTATCGTCATCACTTTCATTATTGTTATTTCCATTATGATAAATATTTTATTTTCATTACAGTTATCAGTATTGTTATGTTCAATAATCCTTTTTTTCTCAGTAAAAAACATACACAAAGGTATATTAGCTGTACTTCTCTACTTGCTGTGCTAGTTTCTGTTCCTTTCCCTCGATATTTGCAAGGAGTTCGTCATTTCTACCGAGAAATGAAAACCAATTATTCCATCAGTAAGAGTCTGTCAAACATGTTTGTATTCGCATGTGCGTATCCAAGTAATTTACTTTCCATCTAAACATATAACTGATGTATTTAAATATGTTAATGATGCTCAAAAAATATAAATCTACCAAATGAAGCAGAAAACGTTCTTAAAAACGATACGTGATACTTTTTTTTTATTTCGCCCATAAGCTCTTTTAAAGCTTCCATTTTTTCCCCTTATTGAAATAACCTGGTGATAGAAAAGTACACAATACTCGATTAGTAGCTAAATACGTGTTAATAGTAGTTAATAATACCTCCAGCAGCTACAGAGAGTGGTTGCAGTAGCAGCGGCAGTAACAGCAGTGGTAGTAATAGTATTAGTAGATGTATTAGTAGTAATAGCATTATTAGAATTAGCAGAAGTAATAGCATATGAAGCAATAGCAGTGGCAGTTGCGATGGTTGTAACAGTGGCGGTTAAAGTGGCATTGGTTGTAGTAGCAGCGGTTGCAGTATCAGCAGTGGCAGGAATGATAGTAGTTGAGGTGGTTGTAGTAGATAGTAGTAATCGTGATAGTAGTAGTCGTGGTGGTAGTGATAACGTAACGGTAATGGTGTTGTTTGTGGATAACGGTGATATTAGTAGTTATAGAAACCAATCCCTTGCCTAATCCCAGTCCGTGCAGCTATCCTTAAATAGTTTAACCTCCGTGCAGGGTATGCCAATGACAAAGTGTTTCTCAAGTTCACAAGTGATCACAAGTAACGTTACGTTTTGAATGCTGTTTTGCCGTATTCCCAAATCTTCAGGTAAATGTCCAGTTTCATCGTTTTATTCGCATTTTCGTTTATAACATTCCTTTTAAAAACCACTGGAAAGGATATATATTGTTAGAAGTTCGAGTCGTCCAGAATTAAACTTCTCCAAGTCCTAAAGTTATTGCAGATGCGTTGATTATAATAGTGATGGTGGTAGTAGTGAGGGTATTAGTAATGGTGGTTCTAGTAATGGTGATGGTAGTTTTGATGATAATAGTGACGGTGTTGGTAGCAGAAGACGTGATAGTAGTAATGGTGATAGTAGTAGTGATAGTAGTGGTGGTGGTAGAAGTAGTGGTAGAAGTATTGGTGATAAAAATAGTGGTGCTAGTTGTAGAGGTGGTAATAAACGTGATGACAGTAGTAGTGGTGGTGGAAGTAATGATGCTTGAAGTGGTGGTGTTAGAAGAAGTGGTGATAGTAGTAAAGATCGCAATAGTGGTGCTGATAGTAGTAGACATGGTAGTGGCGGTGCTTGCAGTATAAGTTATATTAGTAGAGGTGGTAGTGTTGTTCGTAGTGGTAGTAGTGGTAGTGATGGTGGTGTTGGCAGAAGTGGTGGAGGCATTAGTAGTGGTGGTAGTAGCAGTGGTGTTGGTGGTAATACTGAAAATAGTAATGGTGAAATTAGTAGTGTTAGTAGTAGTTGTGGTAGTAGTAACGGTGGTAGTAATGGTGATGCTGGTAGTTTAGGTGTTAGTAAAGGTGGTAATAGTAGAATTGGTAGTAGTAGAAGTGATAGAAGTAGTGGTGGTAATAGAAGTGGTTGTAAAAGTAGGAGAGCACGATTGACCTCCATTCTATGGTAATCTTGAATGTCACATGTAACGCTAAAAGAAAGTCGCGCACTTAATATTTGCGACAACTGTTCCCTCTTAACTTAGCTTAGGTTCGAGAAAACAGTGTTTACTGATAAAAAATTTGGAACCCTGTGTGATTACTAATGAGGTAAGAATTCCGTGTGGTAAGCAGAATATCAGTTAAGGCATGCGGGTATTTGCTAAGAATAAGTGGATAATTCTGAATCAAAATGGCAATACAACTGGATTATTTAAATAGTCAGAAATACACTTTGCTACTTCTTCCTTCCCATGGTGAAAGAAAAGCTACGGTAAATTGGAGAGGGCTTTCGAATTGCGGTATGCATGTGACCAGGAACACCAGGTGGTGGTGATGGTAAGTGTGGTGATCGAAGTGGTAGTGGTGATAGTAGTGGTGGTAATAGTGGTGGTGTTATTAGTGATGGTGTTAGTATTGGTGATTGTAGTAGTAGAGGTTTTAGTAGCGGTAGTGTTGGTAATGGTAGTAGTGATGGTGATGGTAGGTGTGGTAATGGTAGTGGTAGTGGTGATAGTAGTGGTGGTAATAGCGGTGGGGGTTATGGTAGTGGCGGTTGTAGTAGTAGTGGTGGTTGTGGTAGCAGTAGTGGTGGTGGTAATAGTAGCAGCA